CAGGGGGCAGGGGCTGGGAGGAGGAGGACATAGGCTTAGAGAGCAGGGTACACAACAAAGGCATCTAATGCCACAGCGTGCAGCATTCCTTCATTACGTCCCCCATTTCCTACACTTTTGACGGGGCATTGACAGCATCTCAGCCCCAGGAAGCAAGACATTAGGACTGTAGAAGGAACCCACTTCCTTTGCATGGCAACGTGACACAATCATTAGGGCAGGCAGATCTCCTTCTCTAATACCTTTCTCAGTTTAACCTATTCCTACCCTACATCTCATTTGGTCTCCCCTGGGCTTTTTTGATGCCCAAAAGGTAAAAGACTGAGGTAAAATTTTTGTAACATGAGTTGGGCCAGGATAGGCACTCTTCAGTTTTCCTTTTCCTCTTTCTCTACTCTGTTTTCATGTCCATCTTGTATTAAAAAAATACTCCAGTCTGAGATGCATGCCTCAGGAGTGCATTTCGTATGTGTGCTGTGGTCCACTCTCTTAAATGAATAAACAATAAAGGAAAACTTTCTGTCTTCTCCCTGTGTGGTGAGCAGGAAGCTGTCTCCCTGCCTGCAATGCGTAAGATAAATGTAAGTAAATCCGAGAACAAAATTAGCATTCAAGAACATCCCATAAGGAGCAGCAGGATCACGAAACAATGAGTGGCTTCTTTATCATATATAATATTTTTGTCAGTGTTGGATATAGTAAGTAATCCTGAGTTCTAGTAGTTTTGTTCTATTGGTGCTTGGTTGAATTGTATGGTAGCAGAATTACTAGTGGTATGCCTTCTACTTTACTTGGTACAGTATGTAGTATTACTGGACTAGACATAATTCATAGTTGTTGCAGTCATTGAGGAGCTGCAAAATGAGGCCAAAACTTTTGCACGGTTCTTTGGTATTACGAGCCGGCAAAAGGTTTGGAACCTACAATTTCATCTGACGATTGTTTCCCAAACATTTGGGATGATCATTGAGATCCTTATTACGGTAATTCTTGTTATAAGCTGTGAAAGATGGCTTTAAAAAATTCACAGCCATAACAATGAAAAACTAACCAAGAAAAAGATTTATTGAGAGGCCTATTTTTCCCAATGCTTTGTTCGCAGTGACTGTACAGAAACAAAGCTGCATCCAGACTTAACCAACACCCAGCAATAGAAATATGGCATATGATACATTGTGCAGCCCTAGTGGCAAAGTTAAAGATTTGTGTGGGTTTGTTTGCATGTTTGCTGGTTTAATTTAGTTTATCTGAGCAAGGGTGGGATTTTTAACCAGAGACAGAGAAGTCAGGTCAGATTATTTGATAACACCATTCTGCTTGAGAACAACTTCTAGGAAATTACAGATTTTAGATAATATATCCTAAACGTTTTTGTCCCATAAATACTGTCATTATCATCTGCCTAATCAAATAAAACTGGATTGAGAAGTCCAAGAAAAAACAGACCTCGATTCAGGAGGTACATTACTCATGCAAATAGCCAAAGTAGCATGTGAGACTTATTCTGCCCCTGTTTCACTAAACACAGAGTGAGGGGATGAACTAGTATGAACTGCAGTCCCAAGATGGCCTATAAAAGCTCATGGTACTTCATTATTGATGATCTGCTTTTAAGTGAAAATTTTGCTTGGAGCCAAGCAGTGTTGGACTCTGGAGATACACCAGGAAAAGCATCTTGGACCTAGGAATGGCAGAAAATGATGCATTTATCTGCTGTAGCTAGAAAAGATTCATCTAAGATTTTAAATACGAACTGGATAAGGTTTTTTTTAAAATGTGCCTAAATAATTAAAGTAACTTGGAGAAGCTTTTGCCTGATTAAAAAAAATCATGATCTTTTAAGGCCTCAGTGACTTAAACATGGATTGCATGTCTGAAGGCATTTTTCAATTATCAGTTAATTGCAGTGAAAACACTGCAATGAAAGCTTGCCCTTTTTATTTGGCAAAACATTAAAATATAAGTGTAATGCCCCTGGTGTTTGGTACCTTTAAAAAATCAGATTGTTTAGTTAAGATCACATGAAACATGTTTCAGAAGGTCACTGAAGCCATTGAGAATAATGATCCAGAAATGAGTAGAGGGAAACTGAAAAGGAATGAATTGGCAAGGAACTGGAAAGAAATACAAATGTACTGAACAGGAGGACAAGCAAAACAAATCTGGAAATCTAAAAACTATTTGGAGTAAACCAAGGGCAGAAAAACTGAGTTGGTTAAGCCATGTAGCAGACATGCCTTTTACTGCAGAGAGGAGTGTTCTGAACGACTGAGTGAAAAATCTGGGTGCCAAAAAGGTGAAGTCTGATCTTGTGAGGAGCAGGTAGAAAGAGATCCATGAGGAGATCATCTGATATGGGCTTATCCCCCTTCAATTCCTACTACAGGTATAGGGAGGAGGGGCTCAGCTCTTTGTTGGGGCTGCTGGGGGTTGGAAGATGCTATGAGAGAGCATGCTATGGAAGATGCTATGAGGATTTCTTCAGGCTCTATTCAACTTGGTGTCAGCTGGCACCCTTCTGGCAGTGGCTAGGGGATCAAGGACCTACAGTGACCATAGAGATCATTACTAAAATCAGCTGAAAGATCTGGGTGAGGCATTGGGTGGAGTTGGGACACATGGGCTGGGGCCTCTTGAGCCTCCCACTGCAGGATAGAGAAGAGGCTGCTTCCTACTTCGTCACCTGCTGTCTTGACTCCTGTGGGGCACACCAAGGCAGCTGAGCCTAGGCCCAAAGTGAGGTGCTCAGACTCCCACTTTGGTAGACTACTTCCCCATTAGCAAAAGATGGTGTGAGGTTGCATTCCTCCCTTTCAAAATCCTACCCTGCCCATGGGAGTAGCAGGATGTGTCCCTGTACTTCTCCATCACAATCTCACTAGCCAGTTTTAACTGAGACAAATTCTGACCAATCTTCCCATGTTTGTCAGTGTGAGCAGTGGAGATATTGGAGGAGGAATTCTAAGCAGCCTAGGCTAAGTCGCAACGTGGTGCAAGTGGAAGAAACTCCAGCATAGTCAGTGGAGTTAGAATTGTAGAAAATTAGGGCTGGAAGGGAGCTCAGGAGACCATCTAATCCAACCCCCTGCTCAAAGCAGGACCATCCCCAACAAGATCATCACAGCTAAGGCTTTGTCTAGCTAGGTCTAAAAAACCTCCAAGGATGCAGATTCCACAGCCTCTCTGGGTAGCCTCTTTCAGTGCTTTACTACCCTCCTAGTGAAAGTTTTTCCTAGTATCTAACCTTCAACTTGAAAACATTACTCCTTGTTCTATCATTTGCCACTACTGAAAACAGTCTTGCTCCATCCTCTTTGTAACCAGCCTTCAGGTAGTTGAAGGCTGCTATTAAATCTTCCCTCAGTCTTCTTTTCTGAAGACTAATTAACCCAATTCCCTTAGCTTCTCCTCAGAATCATGTGCTCCAGTCCCCTAACCATTGTTGATGCCCTTTGCTGGGCTCTCTTCAATTTGTTCACATCCTTTCTGTAGTAGGGGACCCAAAACTGGACATAGTACTCCAGATGTGGCCTCACCAATGCAGAATAGAGCAGAAGAGTCATTTCCCTCAATCTGCAGGTGGCGTTCCTGCTAATGTAGCTCGGTATGCTGTTAGCCTTCTTGGCAGCAAGGGCACACTGTTGGCTTATATTCAGCTTGTAGCCCACTGTGACCCCCAGATCCTTTTCTGCAGAGCTGCTGCTTAGCCAGTCAGTTCCCAGCCTGTACCTGTGCATGGGGTTGTTCCATCCTAAGTACAGGCCTTTGCACTTATCCCTACCGAAGCTCATGAGGTTCCTTTCGGTCCAATCTTCCAATTCATTGAGGTCTTTCTGAATCCTAGCCCTGACCTCCAGCATATCTACTACCCCCCACTCAGCTTGGTATCCTCTGCAAACTTGCTGAGGATGCGCTCCATCCCATCTTCCAGGTCATTGAGCTGTATCAGTTTACATTATGTCTGCAATTGGTGCAGGAAGAACAATTGGGAGGCAGGGAGCTGAATGAGACTCCAAAACAGCAATATGAAAAAACCTTGTATTTAATGAACAAAAAGGAGAATGTTGCACTTGACCATGACATGGAGAATTTTAATAAGAAACAATTAGGATCCCATCCCCAGTTAAAGGGTTACAACCAATTTAGAACCTGCAATGGAGTTTTGTTAAGGGTGTCTTTGAGTGCTACATTGTCTAATGCCATATTTTGCTACCTTTCACGTGTGTGGCAAGTTCAAGAAGTATATATCCAGGCCGCTGTCTGACATTTCATTACAAAGAAAGTCATGTTCTGAAGGGTTCCATTTGTAAATGTACTGGCTCTGACAGTGGAAGAATCAAAAGCCATGCTATTTTAGCACTTGTTTCACTGTAATACAATATTAGAATATTACATAACATGGGTGCATAGTAGCGGTGTGCGAAACAGGCTGTATTCAATTTGGATTTGGCCCGAATCAAGGACAGTGATTCGATTCGTTGATTCAGATCACTGTCCCTGATTTGATTCAACCAAATCTGAAGATTAGATGCTGATTCGGAGAATCAGCAATTCAGCCATAGATGCAGCTTTAAATGTTTTTTCTACATACCTCGAGGTACCAGACACAGCTTGTGAACGCTGTGATGGTGGGGCAGATGAAGCGTCCCACAGAAGATGTACTTCTGGTACACTTTCGGGTCCACCGCCGAGCTCGTGGGGGGGCCCCCTGTGCCCTGTCCCCTGGCTTGGCAATCAGCCGTGGGGGGCCACTTGCCAAGCCAGGGTGGGACAGGGGGGTGCCAGGGCCAGGCGCGCTCCCCAGCAGACCCAGAAGTGGACCGGAAGTACTTCTGGTCCACTCCCAGGCCTGCTGCCAAGAGCACTGGGGAGCCCCCTGCACTCCTGTGGGACATTGCATCTGCTCCAGCATCTCGGCATT